CTAAAATTAAATTACAAGAATCTATCGTAAATGTAAAGCAAAAGTGCCAAAAATGGCTACAAAATATGTTCTCACGAGCGCAGCTCTCTACTGATGTATCTGATTGCCTAAAAATGGTAAAATATTCTATTTATACTAGGCTGAAAAAACTGGACAAAAATACCCCTGCGAGGTCAGTGCGGGCCGCATTAAATGGACCGCGGTCGCATTGGGCTTACTTCTGCTTCTCTAAACTTGGACTCCGCGGACCGCGTAGAACGAACTGCGGTCGCGGAGGGAGATGGCACGGTCCGCGCAACCACGATCGCAGACCGTATGGCACTGGCTTTGCAAACTTCATCTCTCTGAATCTCATGATCGCGGACCGCACAAAAGAGTAGTGCGGCTGCGGAGCCTTCACCGCAGACCGCGAGATGTGTACCGAGGCCGCGCTTCTTCTAGCCTGATTCACCAACTCTCTGAACCACCTAGTGCGGCCGCATTCCACTTTATGCGGTCCGCACTAGGCCTTCTTTTCTTAAATTTCTTGGTCTTTGATACTTGAGCAGATTTCACTCCTTTTTGAGCCGATCTTTGACATTTCGTCACTTTGTCGATCAAACCTGCGATCAAGCACAACTTGTGAGCCTTTTAGGACTATTTTGTAATAATATATGATCAAAGCATAGGCAAGTAGGGGCATAAAACATGTTAAAATCCTAACTTATCATGTACCGACATCTGGAGTAGTCGTGTCCTTCTCTCTGCTGTTTTCATGGTTCTGGTTCCCATTTTGTTCACCAAGCTAGGCGCTCTGTCCTGAAATCGAAGATCTCGAACAAGAAAAAGCATGAAAGATAACTCGCGTAGTGTAACGAAACCAGCAAGAAAATAATCACTATTATTTTTAGCCCCACGGTGGGCGCCAAACTGTTTACCGTAAAAATGGTAATAACAATTAAATTTGTTAATGGGACTCTAAAAATACATGATCTATTTTTATGCAAGTTGTTAGAGCAATTGATGCTAGGCATGTGAAATTTAACGACGAAATACAAGCTAAAACGGGGCAGTAATCAAACCGAGGGGCTTGCTACCCGGGCCTCGGACTGATCGATGAAAAGCCTCGAGGTCGATGCCTAGGCTCGAGCTCGAGCTCGAGCTATCGGGAGTAGACGAGAAGGGAATAATAGTTAGGATATAATTAAAGAAGGCACTTTATGGCCAATATCAAGCAATAAATGAAGAACAAGTATGAAGGCAATAAATGAAGAACAAGTATGAAGGCAATAAATGAAAGGTAGTCTCGAGCGTGTGAGTTAAAGAGAAAAGAGAGAGAGAAATATTATTGATCTTGTGTAGAATAGTTGAAGTAACAGCCGGCCTTACAAAGGATGGAGATACCCTTTATATAGGAGAGGGATCCCGTTATAGTACAAAATGCATTAACTATAAAGGCATGGAGACGGGACGGCTGGATGTGACAACTTGAGACAGGCCCCGGATAGGTCAGCTTTGTCAGATTTAGCCGTGTGCCATGGGAATTCCCCTCTCGCATGCTATAGCCGTTAGTACGCAATGCCCTCCGGGTCTGGTACCTGACGACCCCCGAGGGTGGGTCTTGATCTTGGCTTCGAGCCTCGAGGAACATGACCGCGAGACGACCCAATGAAGGGGAAATCGGGCCCCCGGATTTACCGCATACATTTAGCTATGTTGCTTCAACTTTTTCTCCAATTCAAATTCATATTCCTTTCACAATTTTACTTCATAGTCCAAATCTAATATTTTAATTTTGTTCTAAATGAAGTTCTTATTTAAAGGAATAACGCAAAGTTTATCTGATATGAAGACATAGATACAAAGTCTCAATTGAGATGTGCCGGTGATTAGCACTCCACGAATTATACCGATATCAATTTTGTAGGGTCACATCCGAAAGGAATTCTATCCTCGGATAATTTACATTCTTAAATTATATAAATATATATATATATATATATATAAATATTTAAGGGTATTAAAATCAATCAATATTACGAGAATATTTTAGTCGTTCAATATTTAACATTAAATCTTCGTGTTTTTATAATAATATAGATATAGATACAGATAAATTAAAAATAAAATTAAATTTAAGAAAGTTTTTCTCCATTACGGTTAAGTAGTTAAACCAAAATTCACCATAAATATCACAGTGAGAAAAGAAAAAGGAACCTCCTAGTGATTCCCCTTTGGTTTCCTCAAATTTGTAGGGAAAAATATGGAGAAGACCATGAATAGTGATTCGATCACTATTCATCAGCCATAACTCTTTCATCCGGCGAGGGATCACTACAAAATTGGTCTTAAAAGAACACCATTCTCATCACAAACAACCTCTCCCTGTTTTTTCACTAATTTCTTTATCAAGAAGTTACAGATCTTAAGTCTAGTTTTATTACTGTAGCAACACATCTCTCTTGGTAAATTATCTTGCAGATATTCGATCTTGATTTTGGCTACTATTAATGTAGCAGCAAGTCTCTTCAGTGTTTTAAAACTTTCTCGCAAAGTATCCAGATTTTGAAGAAATCCTTGTAGTATTAGAATCGTCCTTAGTGTTCTGGGTTGTTTTAGGGTAGACTATCACACAGTGCTGCCATGGCCAGTGGCCAGCCACCCTCTCACGTTGGGCCACCTCCACAACCACCCCCCAACATTACCCAACTTTCTAATGGCACAAAACCTATGGACTATGCAAATGTTGTAAAAGCTACGAACAACACTTCGACAATGCAAGAACGTGCAGCAGTAGTTGAGCCAATTCCTCCAAGACAAGCCCATATATTTCAAGGACAACAACTGTACGATTTTCTGAAGCAGAAGTTGAACGCATCAATTTAATGGAAGGTTTGCAACTGGCTGTTGTTTGCAAATTTTCATACGGATGGCCGGATATCAATGAAATACGTCGCATTGTTCCTTTACAGTGTGGTATCAAAGCTGAATGCAACATTGGATATCTACGTGATAGGCACATTTTGATTCGTTTTTCATTATGGAAAGATTATGTAGACTTCTCATCAAAAGGTGTGTATTATGTAAAGGATAAGCTTGGAAATGAATATCAATTAAGAACCTTGATTTATGATGCTAAATTCAAAGTTGACGAAGAGACTCCTAAGGTAATGGCGTGGATCTCTTTCCCTAATCTGCTGCCTACTTATTTTGTAAGAGAATGCTTGTTCGCACTAGCTTCTGCAGTCGGGATACCCCTCCAGTTGGACTTGGCTACTGTAAAGAAAATAAGACCTAGTTGTGCTCGAGTGAAAGTTTTGGTGGACCTGCTAACAGACATGCCTAAGAAGGTTCGATTAGACATTATTAACGAGCCTACTGGAGATATTAGAACTGAGTGGGTGACTATCAAATATGACTATCTACCCAAGTATTGTAAGGAATGTAAGCTTCAGGGCCATGATGTTTTTGAATGCTGGAAAATTAATCCTGAACTAATGCCTAGCAGATATGATGAGAAGAAGGCTTCAACTCATGCTGTAGTGCAGCCCAACAAGGACAACAAAACAAACAATGCTCCAATAATGGCACTTAAAAATGGGAAAGTTGTTGGAAATCAAGTTGCTCAATGGAAGGAGGTCAAAGATAGGAGAGTGCAAGCAAAAGAGAAACAGGCATCAGCTTTAGCAAATACTGGTCAAGAAATCGTGCCTATAAACAATCAAAAAGGAATTACACAGCAAGTTCAGACAACAAACAGTTTTGCATGTTTAGAAGTGGAAAACAGTGAAGAACTTTGTACAAATCAGTTCATTGACAGTGTTCTCCGAAAAAATCATACAGTTGCGGAGAATGAGTCAAAAGAGATGCATTTTGATTTTTCCACTAGACAAATGGTACAAAAGGTAAATTCACCTAGTTCATCTAGGAGACCAATAGCTATGTCAGAACCAAAGAAACTGAACCATGCAGCACCTACTTTCAATCCTACAACAATAAGAAATCATGCAGCAAACAGGGAATCAACAGCAGATTGTGTACAACAAGATTTGGGGAATGAGCAGCATTTTGACAATTACTCAACTGCCCAATGGGTGCAAGAAGCATTCAAAAATAATGTAGTTCAGGCCATCACCTCATGTCAAGACCTTCCTTCACAGGACACCAAAGTTGAACAACTTTTAGCAAACATTATAGAGAATGAATTAATTAAAGATACAGATTTTGAGAAATTCAGGACCAATGAAAAAGATAAATGGGTAGGAGGGAGATTATGGATCAACCAAACAGAGGAAATCTTAACAGATGGGCAGATTCCAGATACAATGCATAGTGAAAAAGAATTTGGAGGAAATGAAGTGGAAGATGAGAATCAAAGTTTTAATTGTAATGCCAATGCAATCAATATTCAAACCATAAGTGAATGCACAAATGCATCAGAAGAAAAGACAAAAGAGGGGAACATCAATATTATAGATCCAGGAGGGACTTCACATAATAATTTTCGTAATGTCTTGAAGGAAGCTGAAAATAAAGACAACAACCAACAGAAAAAGTCAGACAAGAACCAAGAGAAGACAGTGCAAGTCTATGCAAGAAGTGTTATACAATTGAGCACAGGGAAGGATGTAGCAGGAAGTGCTGTTCCATCGAACAATACACAACTGTTGAAAAATGAACTTGAAGAAAAAGATGTTGAACTTATCAATCAGGAAAATGATGCTGAATTTACCAATCAGGCATACGATGTTGTGACATCAAAAGAAGCAATAGAAGCACATGACCAAGTTGGTCACGCAGAACTTAAAGGTAGAGACATGGATGAGGAATCCACTTCACAAAATTTCATTAATGTTGCCAAGCAGGGTGATCTATCGCCAAGGCTTATTGATAGAGTAAAATCTGAAACAAAGGGAAAAATGAAACAGTCAAAATAGACATCTACTATCCCAGCCAGTGGAGTACAAATAAGGAGAACACTGTCCAAACCCCAAATCATTTAATGGATGCAATTATATGGAATGTCAGGTCAGTAAATACAATGGAAGCATTTGAAAGACTGATTACAATGCACAGAAAACATCACTTTGAGTTCATAGGAATCCTTGAGCCTATGCAACAGTCANAGCAAGAATTGGTTTGGCACAGGCTGTGGTGAATGTATCAAACAAGATTTGGGCTTTTATTGATGAAATATTTGAGGTTACTATTCTGTATAACATGACTCAACAGCTGACTTTGAGATTAACGCACACTGAAACACATGTTGAGCTCATCCTTACTCTAGCTTATGCCAAATGTGATCGCATTGAAAGAATTGAACTATGGGATTCTTTGTATGTGATGACATCAGATATGACAGTACCATGGCTAGTTGGAGGCGACTTTAATGTGATATGGGATGAGGAAGAAAAATTTGGAGGATTACCAGTTTCTCTCATTGAAGTAGATGACTTTAGGCACTGCATCAATACCTGCAACTTGACAGACTTGGGATTTAAAGGAAGCATATTTACATGGTGGAATGGAAGATCAGAGAAAGACTATATTTTTAAAAGATTGGACAGATGTTTGGGCAATCATGAATTGCAACAGACTTTTCCTGGATTGGAGGTAACTCACCTATCCAAAATTGGGTCTGATCATTGCCCAATGCTGCTGAAATGTGATATAGAAACTCCTCCAATTAAAGAGTCATTCAGATTTCTTAACTTCTGGACTAAGCATGAAACCTTCAAAGATTTAGTAAAGGAGAATTGGAATGCTGATTTTAGTGCTAACCCTTTCTGCATTTTTAACTACAAGTTAAAGTAGCTTAAGAAAGCACTATCTACCTGGAGCAGAGCTACATATGAGGATATATTCCAGAAGATTGCAAGCCTTGAGGAGGTAGTCCTGGTTCATGAAAGACATTTTGAAGTCAATCCTACACAGATGAATAGACAAAGATTACAACAGGTACAAGTTGAAATGATTAAATATCTTGCGTTAGAGGAAGAATTTTGGAGACAAAAAGCTGGCATGTTATGGTTCAAAGATGGCGATAGAAATACTAAATTCTTCCATGCTCAAGTTAATGGGAGAAGGAAGAGACTGAAATTATCAAGGATCCAGAATAGCCTTGGTAACTGGATTGAAGAAGATCACTTAATAGCAGAAGAAGCAATAAGTTTCTACAAGGATCAATTTACTGATAGTGCAGTCCCAAATAATTTTGATATTCTAAATCATGTACCTTCAATGGTAGATAGTGATCAGCATGAAAGATTGATGGCATTGCCTTCCAATGAAGAATTGAAGAGAGCAGTTATGGGGTTGAATGAGGACTCAGCTGGTGGACCGGATGGTTTCATTGGAGCATTTTACCAAACATGCTGGGAAATTATTGAAGAAGATGTTGTCCAAATGGTCAAGGCTTTCTTTTGCGGTCAGCAACTGCCAAAGAGTGTTACGCACACAAACCTGATTTTATTATCAAAGAAAAAAGAAGTTATGACCTTTGTAGATATGAGACCAATCAGTCTTAGTAACTTTGTTAACAAGATTTTCTCTAGGGTTATTCATGAGAGATTGGTTGAATTACTACCAAACATAATCTCAGAGGAACAGGCAGGTTTTGTGAAGGGCAGGAGCATAGTTGAGAACGTACTGTTAACTCAAGNCACACTAACCTGTATTTCTGTGGATTTGGAATGCCAAAATGGAGCCCAAAAATAAATCATCTATCATACGCTGATGATACAATCATTTTTTGCTCATCTGATGAAACTTCGTTGAGACTTGTCATGGAGGTTCTGCAAGCTTATGAATCATCATCTGGTCAACTGGTGAACAAAACCAAGTCAGCCACATACCTGCATCATTTAACGGATAATGAGGTGATTAACAAGGTGGAAAGGATTACAGGTATACAAAGACAAGGTTTCCCTATGACCTATCTTGGTTGTCCTATTATTTATGCAAGAAGAAGGGGAGACTATTACAAGGGATTAATCACCAAGGTTATGGACAAACTTCAGTCATGGAAAGGCAAACTTCTGTCTGTAGGAGGCAGAGCTGTTTTAATCGCAAATGTCCTGCAGAGTATCCCAATTCATATGTTGTCAGCAGTCAATCCTCCAAATTATGTGATCAACAAATTACATAGCATTTTTGCCAAGTTTTTCTGGAGCAGCAATGTCGGAGGCAGCACTAGACACTGGGCGTCTTGGACTAACCTGTGTATGACTTTTGACGAGGGAGGCATAGGCTTCAGGTCCCTGCATGACATATCGAAGGCACTTTTCTGCAAATTGTGGTGGAATTTCAGGACTAAGCCCACTTTATGGAGTGCATTTATTTGTCAAAAGTACTGCAAGAAACTAAATGCAGTAATTGTACCTTGGAAACGTGGATCACGAGTGTGGAGAAAAATGCTAGAATGTAGGGATTTGATTGAGCATCAAATCTACTGGAAACTGAGAATGGGATCAGCTCAATTCTGGTTCGATAATTGGACTGAGATGGGAGCCTTATATTTTCAGGTGCCTGCAGAGTTTGGTACCGATGAGGATATTCATAATGTCAACAATCTGGTTGAAAATGGTATGTGGAATGTGGATAAAATTTTTGAGAGCCTACCTGAAGATTTGGCAAACCACTTTGTGCAGAATATTAGACCACCAACTGAAAGTTCACAGTTAGATACTCCTTTCTGGATACTTGAAACAAGGGGACATTTTACAGTAAAATCTGCATGGGATTACCTGAGAAGAAGAGCCAACCCAAAATTAGCTTACAAGATGATATGGGTAAAAGGTTTACCTTTCAAGATATCATTTTTCCTGTGGAAGGTGTAGAAAGCAAAACTGCCACTTGATGATTTCTTGCGTAAAATAGGATACTCCATGCCATCTAAATGTTGGTGCAGCACTGATCCTAAGGAGGAGTCTTTAGTATATTTGTTTTTCACATCCAATGCATCTAGAAGTGTTTGGAGTTACTTCCTGAGGAGAGCAGGAATTGCATTAGATGGGTTGTCATTACATCAAGCAATTACAAAGTGTTGGACAGCACCAGTAGTACCTAGATTGAAGCCAGTTTTACAAGCTTTACCTGCATGCATTTTATGAGAACTTTGGAAGAGAAGAAACAGTTTGAAATATGGAGAAGCAGTGTCAGTGAGCATAGTTATTTACCAGGTGTCATCTACTTTGCAAGCGCTGGTCCAACTGAAAAAGCCAGGACTACATGTGCCTCACAAGTGGCTGGACTTACTGACAATGATGGAGCAATACACACCTCGACTGAAATATGATAAAGTGTTATGGGAATTTCCTTCAAGAGGATGGATCAAAGTGAATACGGATGGAGCATGTAGAGGGAACCCAGGGAGGAGTTCAATTGGTTTCTGCATAAGGAATGAGGCAGGTGATTTGATATATGCAGAAGGAAGAGAGATTTCTGAAGGAACCATTAATGAATCAGAAGCGGTAGCTATTGTGGAGGCTTTGAAGATGTGCAAATTTTTTAATTATGGCTGGATATGGCTGCAGACAGATTCTATGCTATTAAAGAACATTATAGAGGAATCATGGAAGCCTCCATGGTATATTACTGAACATGTAGAGGAGATTTTAAGATTGAAGGAACAAAGTAACATCAAGGTCACACACATTTTCAGAGAAGGGAATACATTAGCAGACCATCTTGCCAATTACGCCCTCGATGAAGGAAATACTGAGTGCCATGGTTTCTGGGATCTGGACTCAAAAGGAAGGAGGATTATTAACGAAGATAAGATGCAATGTCCTTACATAAGAGTGAAAGTTGCAAGGAATTAGGAGGAAAAGAGGATTCTTTTTGTTATCGCACTCAAATCATTCTGGAGGAGAGTTTGGATAGCAATTTTTCGAATAACTCTGTTCACTTTTTTGCAGGTATTTTATCGAAGCTAAAGCCTAATCTTATAGTAGAATCTGAAATGGTGGTAGGAATGCATTGCATTCAAACCACTGGGAGGACATTAAAGATGGGTTTACGCACTTTCACAATATATCTCACATCAAAGGGAAGTAATGCAATAGCATGGGAAATAAGCTGAGCATGTATTTTTTAAGAAGATTTTGAACATTATCAGAAGCCAAATGAATTGGAGTGTGCAACGGCATAAAAAGGATTTGAGCAAAGGACTGAAAGAAATCAATAAAACATGCGAGCTGGAAACACAAGATACATATGCTTTCATTAAAGATGGGCTTACTCACTTTCACAATATATCTCACATCAAAGGGAAGTAATGCAATAGCATGGGAAATAAGCTGAGCATGTATTTTTAAGAATTTTCTAAGGGTGCATTATGGAAACGACTGGTTCTTAAAAATCTTTTAATGTGCACACATGGTTTAATGTGGAAGGCATGGCAGACAACAAAGGCTGTCGAGCAAAGGAATCACATGGAAAGGTGTAATACACATGGAAAGTTATCTAGGATACATAAAAGAATGCAATACTCTAGGATGATGGTACTATGAGATATAATTCTTTATGCTTCAGCTGTATATGGAGCTCACATGCTTCTGGATTACCCAGCACAAAGCTGTCTCCATTGATAAGCTCAAGGAATCAAAAGGAGCACAGCAAGGATAGAAGCTGCAGATCACGCACAGAACCAGATGACATGCACGCACATGCACGCTTTCTGCTGTCCATCTTTATCGAACGGATGCTGGCAGCTGGGAGGCTCGAACAGGGAGGCATTGTGCGTTCTGTGCGTGATCGAATAGGGAGGCAGCTGGGAGGCTCGATTCCATGCTGGCAGCTTATCGAACAGGGAGGCTCGGCAGACCCAATGGAACTGCACGCCAAGAGTAAATCGAGCTCACGTGCTTCTGGATTACAAAGCACAAAGCTGTCTCCATTGATCAGCTCAAGGAATCAAAAGGAGTGCAGCAAGGACAGAAGCTGCAGATCACGCACAGAAGACATGCACGCTTTATGCTGACCATCTTGACGAACGGATGCTGGCAGCTGGGGCGTGATCGAACAGGGAGGCTCGACAGTCCCAAAATGGAATTGCACACCAAGAGTAAATTGAGGAGAGCATGCGAGGAAGCGTGTTTGAAACAAAAGAGAAAATAAGTGTCGAAAAAAGCTGGAATTGATACAAACAACTAGGAATTTTTAATAGAAGGAACGTTGCATTGTGCGCTGTAAAAGCCTTTCACATGCACATTCTTGGATGCAGACTTGTATTTCAAAGTTTAATAGCATTAATGTGATATCAATTTTGAGTGCAACACTCAATTTTGATAATAGGCTATTTGTTAAATTCAAACTTTATTTCCTTCATTTCGTAGGATATCATGACATTGTATTTTGTCTTTTATCTTGTTATAAATAAAACTAACCCCAGGCGTTTGCCTAGCGGATTGAAAAAAAAAAGAAAAAAAGAAGAAAAAGGACAGAATTATATAAATTCACCTTATCATATTTGTATAGGAGTATTTGATTTCTGAGAGATAAAGTGAATAATAATAAGAGAGAAAAAGTAAAGTTACAGATCTTCATATTTTTTTGTTTGCCACAAATCTCCGTTTCCGCCGATCTTTTCAAAGCTCAATCCCAAAAAAGCGTCACCATTTACCAGCCTTCCATCCTTCAAAGATCCGATCAGATCTCTTTCTTTCTCTCTCTACGCTTCTCGCACTGCTGTTTTCCTTCTCTCACTACCTGTACCTACATATTGTGTATCTTTTGTATTATACTACTTCATTCTTGAATAGAAGTCCATTGGATTTTCTCAACTGTGTAATCTGTGTAATTTCTTGTGTAAAAGGAGTGGTCTTGGT